GGGGGGGGGTTTCCAGCGCTGGGTTTTTAGAACATTTGTGTTGACAGAAGATGTCGAGCTTTTAAGACATTATGTTTTAGCAGCCTTTTTTTCTGTATCCCCACTATCATTTTGTGCCCTTGAAAACAAAACAACAAACTGTTTTGACCAATTCTTCCGCTTATTACTCACCCCATCCTGCTCCTGTCAACATGAAGCTGTGATTGTGTGAAAAACACACACCAGAGGCATTAGAAAGTCTAAAGTTTCTCACCAGCCCTGACCTTAAAATCTAAAAGAGAGACGTGTAACCCAGACACATAACAACAAATAATAACACAATAACCAGGAGCCTCAAACTGGACACTTTTARTTCTTGCTGCAGTTTATTCCAGGAAGATGAACCAGAGTAGAAGAAGGTCTTTTTTCTAAGTTCTGTGCAAACTGAGGGGACACMAGAAATAAATCAAATCATGGGAACGCAGGCTGTGACTGTGCTGTTTTATGGTATCTTAGTACATAAAGATAAGGAGACAGCAGGCTGAAAGGAAAATATACCACTGAGAGCAAAATTTTTATCTACACAGGATGGAATGCTGCTAATTCTGCAAGTCCAGTCAGTCTAATCTGCAAAATAAATTTGCCGACGTTATCCTTCATCTTCTTATAAAAGCTTGATAATCCGTTAAAGGTGTTTGATTGTTGAAAATTAATCCTGATTAGTTTCCACAAAGAGACCAAAGACGTGAGGATAAGCCCTGAAATACATAAAGCAAACACAAAGACCCTCCCCTCTGCGAGGCTCCACATCAGATCCGGYTCCTCAGAAACTTATTGTCCTTCTCTGTACTCCGGATGTTGTTTGGAACAACACGAGATAAAACTTATTTCAAGTTTTTGTTTACTGCCACATGAAAGCAAAATGAACTTCTGTCACATCTGGGTCGGCTTTTCTCACACTCAGAGTTTTAGATTTACATATGACTCAGGACTAAGTAGTTCAAGATAATAAGAATTTGCTCATAAATGTATTGTTTTTCATTTTTCTTGTTGTATTGCAGAGCTTTAAAGTTCTGTGGCCCGGGTGGACCACGACACGTGAAGCTTGTCATTGAGTGGGAGCACAGCTCCAAAGACTGGTAAACATTGTRCATTCTCTTTCAGCGGAACACACAAACAACCAGAGAGAGACATAATCAGGACGTGCCGTGTTTTGTTATCTGTCAAGTTTTGCTAAATTCTTAGGCCCAACACTAATCTCTCAGAAAGGAGACACAAACATGCACTCCCATTGATCCTAACTTTCTATAAAGCACATTTCATCACTCAGTGGGGAGCAATAGACTTGTGTTTGGTTCAGTTTGTTTGGCAGCATCCAGGAGGAGGTGGTAAAAGATGCAGACAGCGTGAGGAACCAGCAGCAACAGCACCTTCAGCAGCACAACTGTACCCTGGATGAGTGCTTCCAGCTGTACACCAAAGAGGAACAAGTAAGACACAAGTCCAACAAGACTGCTGAGTAGATAATATACCGTATTTATTCAAGTATAATAAGTAAAATTAAAATCATTAAATCATCCATAAATTTGGGGGGTAGTACTATACTCGGATAAATATTTTTATTCATGTATTTTAACTGAAATATCAGCTTCATTCACAAAATTACTGAGTCCGGAAATGAGACCGCATTGTAAAAAGCAGTTGAAGCGAGCTCACCTGTGACACTCCCCCRTGCTTCAGAGTGAGACAATAACAGATCCAGGCAGGCTACATGATGTGAAAAAAAAGTGGGGGGGAGCAGTCCTGCACCTTATGATAACGAACTAATAACATTAGTGTGTGACTGGGCTGCTCCTGGAACAACAACAAACACACGTTCATCTGTAATGGCTGCCGTCTACCAGTGTTCTGAAAAAGTTTGTATCCCTGAAAAAAAGTTTCCCCACCAGAGGGGGCGCTTGTGAGTAAGAAGTAATCTGTTTTTCCCCCACAAGATGGCCCAAATCTCATGTGAAGTCTCTGACTTTTGTGTTGGCRCATCCTGGTGGACTGTGTGTAAAATGCCAGAATTCATATGATGCTGCTGCAGCTGATATATATTTGTTGTCAAAATACCTTTTAGTACATATGTTTAACAGTGACGATTGAAACTGTTGTTCACACACCCTAACGGCCGATCATTAGTGCCCTGATGGTCACTTACTGTTCACAGAGGGCTGAGTCATGCACTAACAGCATTGTAAGAGGGGGACAACTGGTCATGAAGGCCACATTGCTCGAGGGCTTGGCTTGTGTGAGATTTCTCCTTCTCCCTGGATCCTGAGTCTGTAGCACAGAGCAGACCGTGTCCCCACAACCGTAGGAGTCAGGGAGAAGGAGATGGGCTTTAGAGCAATGTGGTTATCCCAWCTKGGCTTTCCTTAAAGCAGACAAGRAACTCAAACAGCCAGACATCTGRTGAAAAGGAACACCCCYAAACCTAGACCAGTCGTCATTCTGGACTTTGCTGGAGTTTCTGAGAAGCTGAGACGTTTATTTTCTAAATAACAAAGACTGGTTCACCTCAAAGATCTGAGGTGTCCAGTTGTCCCCCTCTTACAACGCTGTTATTGTGAGTAAGACTCAGCCCTMTGTGAACAATAAGTGMCCATCAGGGCTCTAACGATCGGACATTAGGCTGATGGTCCTCTGGCACAGTAACAACCAGTTTCCATTTGGCCCCATTAAACTTGTTGATCCGCAGTGTGAAGGTACTGCTTACAAACCTGGAGCTCCTCAGACTGAAGAAGTCTCTCGGAGAAGAGACAAAATGTTTCAACAAAGAATASTCCGTCCAGACAACATGACTTATTATTATTTTTAGATAATACAAACTGCTATTTTAATATGTTGTTTAATAACCTTTTTCTAAAAACGTTTTTTTTATTTGGAAAAGTTAATCTTGAAACTGTTTTTGCAACAATATGATATACACARCACAAGAGAAGTTATAACAAAGAAACCGAGTGTGGTTCACAATTACTCAGTATTTATATTTACTTTACTGAAAAGAGCAGAAGGTGTATTCACTATGTTTGCCTATTTTTTATTACTTCTTAAAGTGTATCTTACCCCCCTGTGAAAAGATAACTCCGCCCCAAGGCGAAATTTGAAAAATGCATCAAAGTGGGTTGGGGGGTAGGGGAGGGGGGGGCTTAGAGAGCGGAGGTGTGGCCAGGACA